ATAATAATAATAATTTATATATATATATATATAGGTCAGTGGCCCTTGGCTTGGTATTGTTGGCAGAATTCGGCCCTCGGCGAAAACTAACTGAGGAACCCTGGACTAAATTGTCCCTAGTAATAATTTTGATCAAACAATTAAATGTCTGTTGTCTGCGGTTATTTCCCCACCAATGCCAAAATCAAACCTATGCCCTTGATGTATTGTCATTGTATACTGGTTTCCTGAGCTCTGGTTATGTGTTTACATGTCATCTATATCTCGATGTCTCTTCAGATCATATCAGGACAGTTTCTGACTGACAAGAAGGTGGGCGTTTATGTGGAGATTGACATGTTTGGACTCCCCGTCGACACGAGACGAAAAGCTTTCAAGACAAAGACGTCCCAGAGCAACGCCATCAACCCTGTGTGGGACGAGGAGCCCAGCGTCTTTAAAAAAGTACGGCTGTTTCTGTAAGCATTCTTCAGTCGCTCTGAGAGCGTGAAATCAATAACGGTGTTGTTTATGGGTCAGGTGGTTTTGCCCACGCTGGCATCCCTCAGGATAGCCGTGTATGAAGAGGGCGGCAAGTTCATCGGCCATCGCATCATCCCCGTCTCAGCCATTCGTCCGGGTGAGAATCAGCCTGAGCCACTGGATTTATAGACTAATTTCAGCGTGAAATGTGCTGTTGTTTATGTTTTTATAAACAGTGATGATGTCATCACAGTATTTGCATACTGACATATGATCGGTCTTTTCTTTCTTGCATTTATTTAACTTTCACATTGCAAAGATAGTGTTGCATTAAGTGTCATGATGGCGACAAACCTGCATTTCATGAATACAGACTTAACCAGGGGTTTTCAACCTGTCTGAGTTGAAAACCCCCTCCATATAGGCTAAGGGATGACAAAGCTTCTTGTTTTCAAGTTTCATTTATTAACAGAAACTGGGAAGTATTAATATACAGATGTGGCCATTAAGAATGTACATTTTATCTCGTGGCAGCACGCAATTCGTCACGCCATGCAGGCGCTTTTTCAGATTTTTTAAAGGGGTCATATGATGCGATTTCAATTTTTCCTTACCTTAACCCGCATAAACACATTTCATTACGCCAAATACACAAAATAATGTTCTTTTTAGCAGCA